TTAGCTTTATCCCTTCATAGGCATGAGCGTTGTCAGTGAGATGTCGATGTTTCGTTTTGTGACCGTTCACATTCTTCGTCTCATTGGGTCGATCCGGGATATTTTTACAACTCACTCTCTTTTTGGATGTTTTGTGAAGAGTCATACCTTTGATTCATGATCATAAATCATCAGCTAAATCTTATTGTAGCTTTTCGGATATGAGCATTGATTTAAGTAAAGAATCTGCAAGTATGGTTTTCAGGGTGGGCAAGTGTTAAGGAGTGTGGCTGCTAGCATGAATAGGGTACATCTTACTGTTGATAGGATGCGGGTCGGTCAGGAGGTATACCCTTCTGACCCCTACCCCCTTAGAATTTTCTACTCGTGTACCCCCTGAGATGAAGTTGGATCCCTACTTCATCTCAGACCCTTGCTCATCGTCTCTCAGCCATAACAAGCAACTTTCCCATCTTAACGTGGCGTGGACAAGAGTGTCAATGTCAGAACCTTCATCGATCTCTAGGAGCAAGCTACCGCCCACGGCTTCAACCCCTTCAAAAGAGGCTGAAGCTTACAGCTTCAGAACAAAAACTTCGGACTACAGCAGTAGTAGTGGCCCCGAATGGAGTTTCATGTGTGCGCTGGGTGCGTGAGCAAAAGATTTTTTTGTAAAACCCGGCATTTTTCACGGACCAGATGACCCGCGAACCGGCATTATAGAGGCAAATTATACAACCATTTGCCTCTGTCATGCCGGTACCGGCGGTATACCGGGCTCCGTGTGGTCCAGCACATTTTCACCGGCATTATTCCGGACGACCGGCATTATTCGACCGGCATTATACCGGCGGGGACCACTACTACTGTATTACATAACGCAAAAAGGTGAAAAAACTTGAAAGCTAACAGACGCCAGCTACATACGGTAGTGCTGAACAATCTTCCAAGGGTCGAATCCAAATTGAAAGGTCATTCTAAGACAACCATGACAAACTGATTGCTGATTGAGGTGAACTTTCGGCATGTAAATCCGAAACCAACCGTCTCTGTAGCTGGAATTACCAATACCGTAAAGATAGAACCAAGGGGGTGTGTCTCCGGCCTGTGATGGTGACTCCTAGTCTCAGTTGTTACCTCGCATAGCGCGCAGAGGCAGTGGATAGGCCTGTCCTCCATCGGCCGCGGCCGAAAGAGCCGATTTCTGAAAATTTCGGCCGGAAAACGGCCGCAAAAAAAAACGGCCGATTTTGCAAACAAAGTGGCCGATTTTGCAAACAAAGCAGCCGATTTTGGCCAGGGGATAGCCGAATGTCAGTCGGCTACGGCCGATTCCTAGTCGGCTACGGCCCATTCCAAATCGGCCACGGCCAATGTCCGATTTCAATGGGCCACCCCCCTCCCCCCCCCATAAATTCAATGTTGTGGGGAGTCCTACGTACCTACCTACCCTTTTCGAACATTTTTTCACTTGCGCGGTGGTCTCCGCGTCTCCGCACTTGAAACAAAAAAAACACACAAAAAACTTCCAGCTTCCAGCTCGCCCATAGCTCGCAGCTCGCAGCACGCAGTCCGCACACGGTAGCACGTGGCACACACACACACACATGAGGGGATCCAGCACGCAGAAGAACATGCTCGTAGAGTACAGCGATGAGGAGGAGGAAGAGGAGGAGGAGATAAGCAACAGCGGGGATGAGCAGCGCCAGAAATTTGGCCCTGAACCCGCGCCGCTGCAGCAGCGCTTTTTCTCAATGATGACTAGTGATAAACCGGTGCATTACTGCGACTAGACACAGAGTTATTTACTTCCAAAGAACACAGATAAATGGACGAGCCCCGATCCATCTTGCGCAACAAGCATAGGATGCACGAGAGGGTGTTAAAAGGGTACCTGTACGGGCTAGTACGGGCACACATTGGGGTGGCCGAAAAAAAAATGGGGTGGCCGAAAAAAAAATTGGGGTGGCCGAAAAAAAATTGGGGCGGCCGAAAAAGGAAAAAAAGCGACCGAAAGAGAAAAAAAAAGCGGCCGAAAAATGAAAAAAAAAGGCCGATGGAGGACAGGCCTAGCAGTGGAGGAATCTGTCGTTGATTTCTCTAGTCTTGGGGACCCCTCGGGGCCAGTTTATTTGAGTGTACCTTTGTAGGGTAAGTTAGCCTTGCGACCACGGGAATCGACCGCGTCGAGTGTTGGATCAGTACGGACATGCAGATAGCGCCCGCACTTAAGAACTTAGCAGTTAAGAAATTGAGACTCGCGAAAAATCAGAAGCTCAGAACTTGAGCACCATTTGTGAGCTCGGTTAAGAAGACTAAGAACCCCACGCCAAAACCTATATAGCGGCCATTTGTAGCCCAAGAGGATGATCAGCAAAAAAAGAACCCCAGCCTCGGCCGAAACCGAAACTGGAGGTTCTTAAGTGCGGGCACCATCTGTATGAGGGTACTGGGTAGAGACAGATCGGAACGGTTTCTTCTGTGAAGACAACAACAACAACAACAATACCGTCGTAGCTTGTTGGTCTATAGGGAGGGTGTGGTGTGTGTGGTGTGACAAAGCTCTCAACCTCCGATGTATACATCGGAGCCCCCTCTTGTAAAGCACTCCAACTAGATATACTATGGAGGGTCGAGTCCGCCGGGCAACCAATCTCAACCCTCCTACATCGGAGCCCCCTGTCACAAGGTAAGTGCCCTTTTTCACCGGAGCCACGACTGACTGCTGAAAATTCGATTAATTCTGAAACATTCGGGCGGAACGCTGCAAGTACTGGTGTGACTGCTGAAGGGGTGGCGGTGTTTAGATATACATGATCATTTTGACTCTTTGTCGAACTTCGTCCGAACTTTACGTGCATGCGAAGAATGCGACGGGTTCCGAAGAGGATACTCGCGGGCTAGCAAAGTAAGATATGCTACCTCCCACGGGTCTTCGTGAATCGGACCGGGAGGCGATGAGTGGGTACCGTACTCACGACATGCGTTGTTCATGGAAAGCCGGAAGCCGGCGCATTCTGAACGCAAACGTGTCAAGCAAACAGGAAAGGCGTCGCTCGAGAGGCGGCGGCAACACGGCGATACTCGGCGGCCAAGCAAAGAGGCAGAATTAGCTAAGCAAAGAGGCAATCTGCCGAGCAACGATCTGCCAAGCAAAGAGGCAAAATCGGCACCGGTTGACGGACCGCATGATGCATGGTCTAATAATGGATGCATGTGAGGGGGCGCAGTGGCTTGGAACCACGGCGTCCGCGTCAGGTGGACCAGTCCGGACATTAGAAGGTACTGAGTAGAGACCGCAACGGTTTTTCATTTGAAAACAACAACAGTTGTTTTTTGTTGTTTGTTTTTCTCCCATTATTGGACTCTGTCGTCTGCCCCTCTGGCCCCTACCCTCCACTTCTACTAGCTAGACGACCCAACCGGGGTCACATAGGAGGGGGGGGTTGGACCCCCTCCTGCGGTTCATGCCTGAGGTATTTTTATCGCGAGAAGGGTACAACAGCAATCCCTTCCCTCGCGACTCACGAAGTCGATTATGGTTTACTAACAAACGAGCTTTGCAGCGCGTCGCTTTCATCCTAGACCAGGATTTATTTAGTGAGAAAAAAACTCTCTCTGCCAGGACTCGAACTGGCCCTTAGCAGGCTGCGAGGCTACCCACTAGACCACCGGGGCGACCATGTGTTGTGTGATTTGTTGATCATCTCCACGAAAAATATCTTCTGCCGCACGTGTGTGTATGGAGAAGTTTTTTTTTATTTTTTTTCTCCGATCATTGGACTCTGTCGTCTGCCCCTCTGGCCCCTATCCTCCACTTCTACCAGCTAGACGATCCAACCGGGGTCACATGTATGTGTGTACCATGCTTATTATTGTGGATTGAAGATTGGCGCGGCAGTTTACCACCTATTTAGGTTTGATATTCGAAACAATTGCCACACACAGAGCCTGGCTGGTCAACTTGGTCTGATATTTGAGGAAAAGATATATGCTGGCTCACAACGGCGGCAGTACCGCAGAACCTCTAGATGCATGCATGCAAGGATTCGATGATCGTTGCTCACCGTTTGTTTTCTCGGAGACTTGCGATATCTACCGCTTGCTACATAGCGTTAGAGAGTGGCACGGTGGTGGGCATTGTTTGCTCCGCTCTATGTACATACCACATTCCCTTTCGGGTCCGTCATTCGATGTGCTTGCTCTCTGTCTCCTTCCGTCTTCGCCTCCCTCCCTCCGTCTTCGCCGAAGTTCGAGGAAGAAGTGTCATCTGCGGGCTACAGCGGTACAGCTTTCCCAGACGAGAGCCAAAAAATCGAATATCTGTTCGGCATGTGCGTCCGTGTTTTGTTTTTTCGCACATGTGTCTAGATTTGTACGCAACACTTGTATTTTCAACGTCGTCGATGAGGGAACAGTTGCAAGACTCCATCAGTTCTCACAGGTATCGCATAGCTACTATACTTAGCTCTTCGAAGGATGGATAGGGAGGGTAAGGATGTGGCGTCCACGGCCCAGGGTCTACACCCCATCCTCTTTCTTGATGCTACGTACAGCAGTAGATGATGACGGAATATTATTCTGGTTTGTTTCTGCCGGCTGGCATCTATAATCCACACATTCTATAACCTTTACCTAAGATATACCGGCATGTAGGAGAGGTTGGCAGCACTCAATCTCTGCCGTTGGGCGAGAGCACCCCTCCCTCTGCTGCGCTGCTTAGCAAAAGCTATCATTGGCAGGCACCAGAAAAAAAAGTCGTGCGCCCGGTCGCCCGCCGAGGAGTCCGATGCGCGACCGACTGTTGGGCTCTTTCGGCGTAACCAAGGGCACAATCAAAAGGGTAGCGGACCGGTGGACCACGCGAAAAACGTGATGGGCAACCTCGACCGAGCTCGACCGAGCGATAAGCAACAGCACCAACAACGAGGATCCAGAGAAGAAATTAAGCTTGCGTGGTCGGGAACAGGTCGCAGCCCGGGCAAAAAGTGTGCCCAGCTGCTGAGGCAACAGATCGATTGATGATGGTTTTCCCGCACATTTTTTTAGTATTTTCTATCATTTTCCCGTGTTTTTCAACTTTTGCGTCCGCAGTGTCTGCAGCGTCCGTCGCGCCTCGGAACCACTCTGGAGCTGCTGTGTGGCACTCACCACAGAGGAAGACAAAAGAAAGCCGTGAGTACACCACTCTCTCTCACCGCGCTACTTGTGATGCCCCCGTGACCACCGGCCCACCGCTGCTGCGAGTCAGTCCATCGACCCTCGTTCTCCATCGGTGCCTCTAACCGCATCCACCTACAAGACTTCCACACGACTGCTGCTGTGCCCGCGCCAACGAAGCTTCACACCGCTACCTCTCAACTGCCGCGTGCACCTCTTCTTCGCTGCAGGTGTGATCAGCTACTCCTGTGGCATGTGTGTGTGTATGGAAATACCCCCCGACCTGTGCGTTGTTGCCACCACCTCGGGGACTTTTGGAGTGCTCGTGGCAAGCTCGACACAGCAGGTGTGGTTTCGTGGGGGGACAGGGGCGATTCGTTGTTAGTCTGCGTTCCCACCTCGATACATGTATCCGCTGTACATTTGTTGTTGTTTTCTTCACATCGTGTCAGTTGCTAATCCCAAAACCTAGCGAAGACTTGGTCCGTGGTCACAAAAAACTGCTAGAGTCATCAGAAGATCTACACAACACGCGCACTATTGGCAAGAAAAGGGTACACAACAAGCCCGAGGAAGTACACGTACAATTACTGCAGCACGTTTGTTTACGTCCTCACAACTGAACTACACTCCCACGCACTACCATTCCACCACAGCAGCAGCATCATCCCCCTTGTCCCGCACTCTACCAAAATGAATGTTGGTCGACAGTGTACTGCTGTCTAAAGTGCTGTCTGTACAATAATAGCACCATGGTGCATGATACACAAGCTCGGAACGTGCAAGCTGCTGTCTGAAGTGCTGTCAGAATGAGTCCGTGGACATAAAATGAACATGAACAACAAACCAAGTCATCACGGCAATTGACAATGTTGTTGTTGTTGTTGTTGTCTTCACATTAAAAACCATCCCGGTCTCTCTATCCAGTACCTCCTTCTGTCTCAATCTCTCCGTACTAATCCGTCACTTGACTCGGCCAATTTCCGTGGTCACAGGCTAACGTACCTAGAAAAGGTATACCAAAATAAAATGGACCCCAAGGGTCAGCAGAGCGATAAAATACAAGAAAACAAAATATAATCAGAAACAAATAAAATAAAA